GGGCCTGTGGGCGTGGTCTCTCTGTGTCTGGTCCCAGGTCCTGGGTGATTGGGGGCAGGTGGGGAGGCTGGGAATATGGGCTCAGGTTGGGTTGGTTTGCACCTGAAATTCTTTGCTGTCTCTGTGAATGGGCCGCCCTGGGAGGCCCTGTCTCTCTGTGACTTCCAATCTGCTTCATGGCTCAAAACATCCTAAGATACAGAAATAAACAATAATATACACCCACTGACGGCACCCTTGTTTCTGTCTGTGCTTCTCCCATTTGACTTGTTCCCCTCCCGCCTCTTTCTTTCTCTCTGTTGGTTCTGCCCACTCATCCCCCACGCCCTGCTCCTCTCTCTCCATTCTCAGGCCCAGAGACGGACTGAAGTTGGCACCTTATCCTCCCCGTGCCCAGGAGTTACCTGGTCACCACCTGAGCTTCTGGTCTCCCATCTGTAGGTGCTGATACAGTAGAGTTAGGAGCCGCTCTCCTCTCCCTGTGCATAGACGTCTACCTCAGAATTATTGTCATAACACATCACAGCATTTAATCATAAATGAAAACATTTATATGCTGTCACATGACCATCGATTTTGCTCTGCAGTGTCTGTGGGAGTTTCTTGAGTCCAATGACATCTCCATCTCCTCTTTCTGTTGTTGCAGCTGTTGCAAATAAGGGATATTGTTTATTCCTTGTAATTATTCTTCAGTTGGTATTTATATCTCTTCTTATTTTTAAAAAAATATTTTTATTGATTTCTGAGAGGAAGTTGGAGGGAGAGAGAGCGATAGAAATATCAGTGATGAGAGAGAATCATTGATTGGATGCCTCCTCCATATTTTCTACTGGGGATGAAGCCGGTAACCCAGGCAAGTGGCCTGACTGGGAATCGAACTGTAATCTCCTGGCTTACAGGTCGACACTCAACTCCTGAGCCACACCAGCCAGGCTATATCTACTCATGAATAATAAAAAAATTCAACATTTAAGACACATCCACCTATACTCTCACCATTTTGTATTATTATGTTCATATCTTACATCTATCAATTTGATAAACTTTAGAGAACATTAATAATTACTTAGATGTAAACAATTATTTTACTTCCAGTTTTATAGAGATATTTTAAAAACAGAATGCATGCAAGTGTAAGGTATGCAATGTGCATATTTGATACACTTATATAGTGAAGTGATTACCACAATAAGGTTCATTAACACTTTCATCCTCTCATGTAATTACCATTGTTATGATTATAATATGAATGATGTATAATCATAACAACTTTCATGTATGTAATACAATCCTGTTCATTGTAGTCATCATGCTGTCCAACACATCCCCAGGAATTGTTCATCTTGTAGCTGAAAGTTTGTATCCTTGACCAACATCTCCCCATTTCCTCATCCCCAGCCCTGCATCTCCATTCTACTGTATTTCTGTGAGTTTAGCTTCTTCAGATCCCACCGTGAGAACAAACTGCAGATAAACAATGACTATTTTGAAAAAAATTACCCTCAGAGTTATGTTTCTATCATGCAGTTCTAGGTTTCCATCACAAAATCACTTTCCTCTATGCAAAAATGGACTCAAAATGTATTAAAGACCTAAATATAATACCCACAAGTATAAAACTCTTAGAGGATAACATAGGGGGAAAGCCCGTGACATTGGGTTTTGCAATGATTTCCTGCATATTGACATCAAAAGCACAGACGAGGAAAGCAAACATAGACAAGTGGGACTGTACCAACTTCAAACCCTGAGCACAAAAGGACACTCTCACCAGACTCCAGACGCCACCTACAGGATGGGAGAGGAACTGTATCTGATGAGGGGTTAATATCCAGCATCTATTACAAACTCATACAAGACAACATAAGAAACCCAAATAACACAATTGAAGGAAAGGCTAAAACCTTGAATAGATATTTCTCCAAGGAAGATGTACAAATGGCCAACAAAGTCATGAAGAGAGACTCAACATCAGTAAAACGCAAGAACTACAAATGAAAGTCCTGGCTGGGTAGCTCAGTTGGTGAGTGACTTCCTGATACACCCAGTTTGCCGGTTCCATCCTGGTCGGGGCACATACAACAATCCACCAATGAATGCGTAAATCAAAACCTGTAATGAGAGATTACCTCACACCCTGTAGGATGGCCACTAAGAAATGAAACTACAGAAAATAACAAATGCTGGTGAGCAGGTGCCAAAATTGGAACCATTCAGCACATTTGGTGGGATTGTAGGAGGGTGTGCCGGCTACGGAAAACAATATGGCAGTTCCTCCAAATATTAAATATAGAATTACCATATCATGGACCATCCTCTCTTGAGGTTATATGTCCAAAAGAACTGAAAACAGGACCTCAAAAAGATATCTCCACTCCCATATCTATAGCAGCATTATTCATATTACTCAAAATCTGTCAGCAACCCAAATATCCATTGGTGGATTAATGCATTAGAAAAGGCCATGGCCAGCTAGTGTGCCTCAGTGGTTGAGTGTCGACCTATGAACCATGAGATCACGGTTCCATTCCTGGTTGTGGGATCCATCCTGAGTGTCGGGCATGCAGAAGGTGGCCGACCAGTGATTCTCTCTCATCATTGATGTTTCCATTTCCCTGTCCTTCTCTCTTCCTCTCTGAAATCAATAACAATATATTTGAAATAAAAAGTTGTAAGTTTTAGACTGTTCTGGATGTTTTAACAAAAGACCATAGACTGGTAGTTTATAAGTAGCAGGAATTTATTGCTCAAAGACCTGGATGCTGGAAGTCTCTCTCTCCCCCCTCACTCCCTCTCTTCCACTCTCTCTAAATTCAGTGAAAAAAGTATCTTTGGGTGAGGATTACAGAAACAAACAAACAAAAAAGATAAAAAAGAGAGAGATATTACAAACTCATACAAGACAACATAAGAAACCAAAATAACACAATTGAAGAATGAGCTAAACCTTGACCAGACATTTCTCCAAAGATGATGTACAAATGGCCAACGAAGTCATGAAGGGAGACACAACATCAGTAATCCTACAGAACCATAAAAGAACTCCTTAAGCCCATAGGGGTTTTGCTTGGTGCATCAGGGCATTAATATTCAAAACCCCAAAGCAGATTCCTACACGGACAAGGAAGGTACAGGGAAGGCGCATAGTAGGCCCGCGGTACAGAAAGCGATGGGGGAAGTGTAGTGATAAGTACATCAGAAGGTTACACACCCAAAGCTAGCATTAGAAATTTTATGTCATGTGAGTCTCACCTCCACAAAAGTTTC